TTGAGTGGGCTTCCCTTGGCCAGTCTTTTGACCAAACGGCCTCACAGCAAAGGGAACATGATAAATGCTCTTCCCTTGGAACGGGTTCTGCAACAACCAACACAAAAGCTAGAACAGACCAAAGCCTCTAAGGGCTGTTTGAAGCTTGCAAAAGGCTCACTAGAATCTGCGAGCCTTGAAAGGCTGGAAATACACTTGCACTGAACAACAGCAACCCAGCAAAAGGCTCGAAGCCTCATCATTAGTCGCATTGCAAAACAGGAAAGCAGCAAACTGGTCAGAGCGTCCTCTCTTCTTTTTTCCGGGAAGAACCTGGCAACAGCTTCTTGCAAACCTCTCCGTCAAAACTCACCAGCCAGCTCCCACCAGCAGCCTCAAGGAAGAAACCTCTTCTCAAAGGGACCCACCAGCCAGCAACCACCGGCAGCTCCAAGTCCGAAGCGTCTAAAAGGAAACGAGAATCTTCGGACTGCCACCAACAGCTTTTCATTCTCCCGGGTGGAACATGGACAGGACGATCGGGCCGAGGTCCTTGTAGGCCAGCATCTCCAGCCTCCTCTTCGTCATCCTCGGTGCAGATAGCAGATGAAGACACTGAAAACACAAGCTTACGACCACGATCCAAAACAGAACATGGAAGCCAGGGCACCAAAACTCCCAGCCGTTGTGGTATTCGGCCACACGGTACTGGACATTGTCATGCCAGCACCATCGACTCGAGCGGATATAGGGATTGGCATCCGCATAAGGGATGGTGTCCCGCCAGCCAGAGCGCCAAGTGAGCACTACCTGCTGAAACTTGGCACAGTTCTGGACGTCCACGATCGTGTCGTAGACCATGCTTCCAGCGCAAGGAAAGAGGCTCAAAACTTACCAGCACTGCATGACTGCTTGTCTCAGTTGTCCTCGCATCAGACCTCTTCTGCCTGTTGTTTCATGCCAACTGTTGTTTTGCCCAGCTCTCGGGCCAGCTTCGGGCCAGCATTGCTGTTGCAGACAACCAAATTCAGCACCAGCACATGAGAAAAACATCTTTCTGTGGACAAAACGACGATGACGACGACGGCGAAAAATATATATCAATAAGTCTGGCACTCTAGTGTTGTCGGCAGTAT